CCATCACAAGTCGGATTGGCGCCACCCCAGGCGACAGGCGGGGAAGGCCAGCGAGCCGATTTCAGAGCTGTGGATGAGTCTGACTTTTCTCAAAGCTCGCTCTTCATCCCACAAGTATCTTTATAGGTTCTTGACAACCTGGTACGGCCACTGGCAATATTCCCAAAGACCCGGAAGTTCTGGACCCGGAAGTCTCTGGACTCCATCCAGAGACTGATCCACATCGCCACAAGACATCTCACTCAAGAGCAAGCAGCTACCCGCCCTGCCTTCCTCGCTTCCTCACTCAGCGCAGCCTTGCCTCAGACCCCTTCTAGATTTGGTTCATGTTGCTGAGACCACAAAACATTCATCCAGTCCTCAGAAGACAAACGTCTCACACAGATAATAATCCAAACTCCCGATATTCTCCCCGTCAGCTTTAGTAAATGATTGTATTTGTACGCATATACATTTCAAGCAGTCCGATAAACTGCCAGCATCTTTCAAGAGCACAGGAAGATTAAGAAAACAAAATGAAACCCCAATATACATCGATCAAAAGTTGGTGCAACTTCAGATTCCTTCTGCTTGGCTTTTTTCCATTAATCAGTGCATTTTATATTACATTCAGTACCACATGCGATGTAGTGCCTGAAACAGTGTGGAATTTAATGTGATTTTATTTAAACTGAAATTGCTCTAAGATATCAGAACAAGCCTAAGCTTGGTCGAAGGGGGGGGGGGGAACACTCATAATCAAAAAAGCACAAAACCGCAGGCAGACACTAAGGACGGTGGGAAAGCAGAAGCTGAAAAGGTGAGGGTGAAGCCACTAGCTGCTCAAGAGACTGTGCACACAATCGTCAGCCAGCAGATGGGGGCCAATTAGCCGTCGCATTTGGAGGAAACACCCGGGTGCCTCGCATGGGGCCCCAATGCAAATGAGGGGAAGGGCAGCCGGCCACCGGTGGCACAGCACGGAAACCACAGAGCATGCACGAGTCAGTGCATTTGCATGAGCGCTGCTGCACGCGGCTCGCATACGCGAGCATGGGAACGCACAGGATTGAGCGTGCAGGGAGGCAGAAGTGTGCATGCATGAGCGTGATCAGCATGGGGCAGAGAAGCGTGCATGGGGCTGGGCGCAGGGAGCATCCATGCGCAGGAGCTTGCATGTGCGGTGACTGCAGGAGCTTGCATCCACAGGAGTGTGCATGCGTGGGAGCTTGCGTGCATGAGTGCTGCACAAGGTGGATGTGTCCGATAATGGGAGAAATGGTAGAGTGTAAAATCGCCCAATCCGATGAGGAAAGACTCAACTAATCATTTAATCCATTCCAGAACGAGCAAACTAATTATTTAATCCAAGCAACACTGACAGTATGAGTCATTTAATCCATTTTTCCCTGGTTTTTTGCATTTTATCTTTCATCCAGCAAGAGGAAGGGGGGGGGGGAAAGTTGAATTCGATCCAAAACTGGAGATTGACTGTTCAGGGATGACAGAGGGTCCCTAGATGTGCCATAATCGTATGTTTCAGCATCTCCAGCTTTGCCATCACACATCCACCCGTCACAACCTGTCAGTCAACGCCCTCCCCGTCATCTACAGGACAATGACATCATTATTAAAAATGGCATGTATTATTGGATGGTGAACCCTTCCTCTGCTGCTACATGGATGAGGGGGGCGGAACAGAGATGGGCAAACCTCCACATTCCCACCAACCGAAGGGCAGCCCCAACATGAAAACCACACCCACCTTCACAGGCCGTACGCTAGCACACAGGGGAAAGAGGCCGGATTCTCAAAGAAATCCAAGCATGAAAATAAGCCATGATCTGCCTCACTGGGAAACGGCGCCCTGCTGTGAGGCACATGCCAAGATCCAGGGCATTTAAATTACATTTGTCAGACTCTTATAAAAGTTACTTACATTTTAAGAGAAAGAATGGTCTCTGGAGCAATTGGGGGTTACGGGCCTTGCTCAGTGACCCAACTGTAACAGCTTTCTACTTACACTGGGATTCGACCCAACAACCTTCTGATCACAGGTACAGTGTCCTGAATCGCACAGCACCCTCTATGGCTCACCATACTGCCTGTATATACACACACTGCAAAGAAACAAAAACACATTGATCGTCTACAAGAAGGGAGGCCGCCTAACAACATATGCTGAAAAATAAGGTTGGTTTACTTAATTTACCTCAGCTGCTCCAGCAAACAAAAGCTTTATCAATAAAATTAATACTTTTGCTTTAACAAATTGCCCAAAAGCACAAGGGAAAACCTTAAATATATGCACAAGCACATTTTTTACTGGAACTGCAGTGGCACATAACGATATCGGTCGCAACACACAAAATGCACTCCCTGATGCATTGTGGGAAATCATTTGACAGGCCAAAACACGAGTGTGCAGGGAAAGCAGCATTAACACCATCCTAGGAAATTAGCATCATCCTGGGAAAGGGCATTGCAGTTGTACCATTAAACTTTATGTGCAAGTCACCTAACCAAATAAATCTATACATTTTCTGTGGCACTAATCCAACTGAAAGTTGTGAAGTAATCCCAATTATAACCGAGGGCCTCAAGTGAGTGAACACTCTGCATGTGGTGTGCACCCCCCCCACCCCCAGCCCCCTGATGTACACGCTGAAAGGACATCGACATGCCTCACTCTCCACCTAGTGGCCAAAGCAACAGTATCACCTCATACACCCAGCAATTCCACTTGGTGAAACGCGATCGGCAAACCCGGAGGAGGGTAATACTTCCTACGTGGAAACCAGAGCATGTCCTGAGACGATAACAGCTGGCATGTCTTCCAGGGTGAACCCCAGCCTTATACTGCCTAAGATGGGCTCCAGATCCCGCGCAACCCTCGCCAGGATAAGCAACTAGAAGATGGGCAGATGGATGGTCAATACTAACAAAAACAACAACAATAATAATAAGGACAATAATAATAATAATCAAACCAAATCGATTCATGATTAAGGACAGACTGAATACTGTCAGTTTGCGTCCAATAAGAATGTTCATTGTGTCAATGAATAACAGGATTAAATTATTTCTGTAAAAAAAAGGGAACCATCACACATATAATCTAAAACAAACACAGACATTTTGTATTTTTAAGGTTGATACCGCCCCAACCCACCCCCCAGGATCAGAGGCTGGTCAAGGGAGTTCAAAGGAAAGGCACCGCTGAAGTGGGACCGCGACCGCGACCTGAAGATTACCATCGACCAGGGTCGTTTTGGGGCTGGGTTAGGGGATCGGGCTGTCCTTGGTACGGTTTTAGCTTTGACTTTGCAGGGAGACGGAGGAAGCGACGACACGCATCATTAGCAACGGTCACCCACACCATGGGCACAGCGGCTGATGTGGCCCGGGCTAACTGTCCCCAGTCTAGAGTAGGGATGCTGACCCATTTGGTGCGCTTTGTGTGACCCAGTTGAAACCGACGAGTTGTTTACAGAAAGCTAATCAAGGCAGCGAGGTCGATCGCAGTGCCACCGTTTGTCACACGCACACAAGTCGCTGTATAATAGCTAACATGTGATACACTTAATTGTGGGACCTTCCATCATATCTCAATAAAAGGGAAAAACATTAGGATACACAATACATCTAATAAAACCCATAATCAAAACTAGGACGGAAAAGGGAGGGAACTTGTGTTTTTTCCCTATTGTTTCTATTATATGTCTTAATCGGTAGACGTCAGAACGAACAAGTATCAGACATCTAGGGAGGTTTCGCAAAGGAGCCGCAAAACACAGACAGGTGGCGCTATTTCGCACTCGGACCTTTGTGACCCAGGAGACCCCCCCCCGATTATACCCGACGGTCGGAAATTTTGATGGGTCGAACATGGACGGAGCCACCGGTCTTGGCATGTGCTGATAAGGTGAGAAAACAACCCCGCATATTCAGTTACCATTCGAGGGCTGCAAAAGCACACAGTTCTGCCCTGATCGGAGTCGGGTCCGGCCAGGTGAAAGTGAGATACAGCCAGCGCCGACCACCGAGGTCCTACAAGCGAATGCCCTACTCTACACACCCACCTCTATTAAAGGGGAAACGTGCACCTGAAGAGAAAATGGCCTCGTAAATGTTTTCCTGAACTCCAAAAATGAAACTAAACTGCGAAGCTGGCAATTAAAAACAGACTACAGTCTCGCAATACGTAATGACATAGTCGATAAAATATTATACTGACTTCCTACCAACCAAGATTACCCAGGTATCCTAGATACATTCCCATGAAAACCGCACGGAGACGATAAACAGTAGAGTGTTTCGAACCAGGGCACCGCTGCGAACGCCAGTACAATGCAATGCAGCCCCTAGCCTATGCAGCCCAGTGCATACGGAAAAAGGAGGCTTGGTTTGTCACCTGGTTATGTCATTGTTTGTCCTACGTCGGCTAGACTGAGGAGATGTTCAGTTTGGTCCTGCAGACTGGGGGGGGCAATGACAATGACAGATCCCCGCGTCCCCGATACGCCACACAAAGAAAGCTGCACCACTGCTGTTGCTCTTTCTTCTGAGACATTTCAGGCGACTTGTCACACGCGATTTCCCCCCTTACAACAACGAAGGGGGGAGGGGGTACGATACAGTTGCACTCCCGTTTGGTCGCAGCGTTCCCCTGCGGTTCGTCTTGGTAAAATAACCAGGTCGATACAAAAGCCGCACGTTGCGGAAGAAGAGATGACAGGTTGTAAGTATATACAGTTGCAAACGGGTGCAACTCGAGGCAGTAACTCGCAACACAAAGACCTACAGGCAGGGGAATAAATCACAAGTGACCAACGCACCGTGCACTTCGTTATTAGCGTTGCGGGTAACGTGAGTATGACGCTTCCTTCCACAACACAGGACTGCAAAAACACTTGAGGACACGTCGAGGCAACCTGATGTGAGTGATCGGTTGACTACATGCACACCGGGGTGGGGAGATCCGATTCGGATCTGCAAGTTAAGCCCAAACGCAGGCTTACCTATGAAGCGCTTCAGCGTGCATGACCTGCGGGTCCACCTCCGACGCCGCTCTGCTCCGCTGCTTTGTCGCTGAACACACGCTCCCTCCGATGCTTAAACGTTTCGTTCGTGTTCCCTCTCCCTCTTTCAATCCATCCACAGCGATGCTCTCCCAGCACCAAGCTCTCTCAGTCCCGGAGCAGATGGACTTTAAATGGGACCGCCCACGTGGGCAGGCCACGCCCCCTGGCGCTACACGAGCGCTATATCACGTCCTTACGTGCATGTGGGAACTTATATATCAAACCGATTACACATAATAATTAGCAGCAGTTGGACATATGCAAATTTGAAACATGGTGTTTATGGATATTATAATATGAAACGAGGTTCTTTTTATTCCAGGTTATTTATAATTTAGTTTCTTTGTTAAGGGGATGTAACTTTGGAGATTTTCATATTTAATGGTACACCAGCGAGTTCCTTCCAGATTTTGGCAAGATAGCCTTCGGGATTCAGCACTATGCAGCAAGCTTTCTCTTTGTTTTTCTAACACGATTCCGCATCATTTCTTTTTGTTTCCCCTACTGCCGATACATGCCCATTATTCCAGACTAGCTACAGATACCTGATGTTTGCATTTCCCTATACGCACATCATTTTTTAACACGAGGACATCTGCCCATGCATGCAATGTATGGTCGTAGACTGTGATTAAAATATAGGATCTAAGTAGCAATCCGTCCCAGTACACAACATGCTCACCGGCTCGTGTGCGACTGAAATCTCAAACAATGGGAAAGAGATGCATGGCGTTTGCGAATAAATTACGCATTCGTTACCCGAGTGCACCACTTAAGCTTTTAGGTAAACTTATTTTTTGTTTTTAAAATAAGAATTTGTTTTATAGGCGTTGCATGTTAAATAAGGAGGCGATAGCCACATTATTTACCCGTTTCAGTCTTATCAGATGATCGGCACAGCACTGATTCCTATTGCAAGTGGGAAAATGGGCACAAAATGCAAACGGCGTTTCCACGTCACACGATTTGCGCGTTCCAGCAATTATCTTTCTTGCTATTATCGACGGTTTATGCCTATAATATTATAAAGATAGAACTACTACGGATGCATGTTCTATGGATGTATTAACATAAACAACACTTAGTTGTTCAATCATGTAAATCTGGTGAGTTTATTTAGATACTGTCGAGTTTATGTTCAAGGTTTGTCTCAGAAAGAACACAAATGTATTGTGGGTAATCTAACCTTTATAATCCTCCCACATTCCCGGTTATATCTTAGATAGAAAAATACCAAGAGAAATGCATGTAAGGGCCATCGGGGCTGCCACGGCATTGTACCGCAGTTCGTTCCCTATTAAAACAGAGAGGCACTATGGTATTGATTTATTTATGATAATTAGGCCTATTTATTATCATGTGGTCGTGCGATATGTAAGGCGCCTGTTTGTGCCACACCGCCGACAGCTCTCTGCGTCTGCGCGTGTGTGGAGAAACCTGTCAGACCGTCATTCATTCGGCCCAATTACCGGTCGGGCAAATTGGCATTTGGGGCAGAGTTCACCCCCACCTCCATGCTTCCCTATTCTGAATGCATCTGGGTCTATTCCTCTGTATTCAGAAGGGGGCACCTTACCTTCCACTCCTTAGCGAATCGTTGTTAAGGGCCAGGAGGATTAAAGTTGCAACAAGCTCTATGTCTCAAAACCTTGAGAGATTTATCAGATTTTATTATAGAGCCCGTGCTACCAGCCACATAATGTCTCATGAAGTATAGTGACTAAGGCTGGTTTTATATTGTGTTATACACGGAGCCAGGGCTGCAGATGGATTAAAAAAAAAAAACAGCTCTGGATTTTGGGGGTCACATGGTAAATCTTGTTGAGCCAAGTGGTGGTGGTGGGGGGGGGGGGTACACAATTTATACTGAGAAATAGGCATTTTTGTAACATCCTGTAATAGGGTGAATGAACTCTTGTTTTAACCACCCACAAAATTGGGATTCTTTATCAAGCAAGCTGTGGGATGAAAGGCAGGAGGTGTAATACATTTTATCAGATTCCATTCATGGTTATGCGTCCCACAGACTGACTATGCTGGTATCACATAGCAAAATCCGTGTGTCCCCATATTGCGACGTGGACGTTAAAATCGCATGTGCTGCCACCTTATCGCAACAACCACATTTGCATTTGGCCGCTTTATCGAAAGCCACTTAAGGTTTTTGCCCAGATATACTGCCCTGATTCATGGGAGCACAACCGCACAGCCTGAATATCAAATCCAGTGCAGTTAAGGGGACAGTCCCTTGTTTAAAGTGACACTTTTTTTTGGGAATCGAACCCATGAGGCATGCCTCAAGATCGAACTGCATAGTTTGCACTTTTTTGCAACCAAGCCAGTGAGGGAGGGGGTGGTGGTGATGCCTCTGTATCAGTTGTGAGTGGGGGAGGGGGGGGGGGGGGGGGGGGGGGGGTGTGTTTTTTTTTTGGGGGGGGGGGGGGGGGGGGGGGGGGGGGGGG